CCACAATGAGTTTACAGCAATTTAAAGCACAATGCAATAAGGGACTGCAATAGAACATAGGAGGCAAATAAGGGAAGAAGAGACAAAAATAACAGCAACTGCAAAAACTCACGGCACTCGTGTTAAAATATTTATTTGCTGCTGGTAAATGGACTTTCTGGGTGTGAGGGTGTCTTGGTTTCCCATTTGTCCATACTCCTTAAATAGTTAAAGATTTTGGTGCAGTTTGATAGTCAAACTGCAGTGATCTGATTAATCTCATCAGAATTTTCTTCCTAGTTACAAATACTCACTCTATAGGATACCTGCCTATGTATCACCACCAATACTATTCTGAGTTATTACCTTATACTGCAAGCAAAAGTAGGATGTAGTTTGCTTGCAAAATTATTCCAGTTGTTTTTAAAGCTATACAGATAAAACACACAGTTTGAGTGGACTGCTTGTTTTTTGGTGAAGAGTGCTACACTAACACAATTCCAATTCTGAAAAAAGTATCTTTCAGGATTTGCTCAAGCCAAACTGTTATCACATTCTGTTACTGTAAGGTTCCTGCTAACTCCATCCTTGGGCTGCACCTAACAATTATCAAATCTGCAGGAGCTCGCTGATCCATCTGAAAACTAATTTTGGGAAGAAAACCCCAAACCCAAAACGCCCAACAAGACAGAATAAAACCCACCACAACAAACCACACACCCTAAATCGGTTCACGGATCCAACTGGAAACTATCTTACCCATTCTGCAACCACAGGCTAGAACCAATACAACCAAGAGCTTGGGGGAAAATTTGCTTAAGGCATGATCTTAATTTAGCCTAAATCACTGATGACACAGAGGATATTATATGCCTAACAGCAGACCCAATTCTTATTGACAAACTGCTCCTGCTAGAGCCATATAAATGAATTTTAAAGTGGATGCAAATGGACCAGGTATGCTTAAAACATACTCTTGGCATGGATCCTCAATTGGAGTGAACTGCGACTGACTTCAAAGGAACTACAGATCTACCCTTTGGACATAATTTTTGGAGACTATTACTGTAGGCAGTGAAAAAAGGATGGCTCCTAAGCAGTTTAAAAACATACAGTGATTAATTTATTTCCTTCAAAACATCACAGACTATGTGTGGGATGCTGAAATGAATTTGGGGCTTACAGACACTCAAAAGGATTTATTGAGACTGACTGAAATAATTACGAAAAACAGAACATACAAATATAAATAAATAGAAAAGTGATTGTAATATAAAACATTTTTGTGAATTTTCAGATTTTTTTCAGAATAACCAAGTTTATATTTGCTATTTGTCCCCATTTATGGGATTAATTCTTCAATGTCCTTCAAGAGACACTAATTTCAAAGATATTTCTGCTAGGAAAAAAATGAATGTGTTAATTCCTCTGCTCTTACACAAAACTAGAAGTCATATTGCTGCACATTATTCTTTTACACATAAAAATCCCTGTATGTGAAAATCTCAGTAAGAAGATCATGAAATTGCAACCTTTTGCACCATCTACCTTACAGTTCATATATCACTTAATACTTAACTGGTTTTCTATCTCAGTTGCTGCACTTCTGTGCTCATAAGATCAACTTTGAGTTTGCTTTTTAATCTCTTGTTTCTCTACTGAGTCACTTGTGCTTGTTCCACCATTGGGTTCACCTTAAGGGGAAGTTCTCCGTTTTTCTTTCTCACATACAGATTTCCCTCAAAAAGTAATGTCTGCACAAGAGGAAAGAGCTGGATTGGCACAAAAGGCCACGTATCCCAGGAAACTGGGACGGGAAATCCCAGAACACTTTGTATTACAGTTTTCACCCAGAGGCAAATCCCTCCACAAACAGGTTAGCTCTTGGCATGAGCAGGTCAACTGGAAAAGCAGACAAGGAAAGAAAAAACTCCTGACTTTGTGTCATCACAATATTTTCTAGCAGTAGGTACATATAAGAGTCATGAGCCATCTCTAACACCCACATGCGCGAAGAACTAGCATTTGATTATTTACAAAGCTGTATTAAAAGAAGATAAGGAATCCTCATAGCTTTCCTTCTTCACATAAAGAAGTGTTGTAGTTGCTACAGAGATACTACGATTCTTTATGGGAAAGAGGCTTCTATTAAAATAATCTGGTTTATGAAAAGGTTTGAAATATCCTTTTAGAGCATAGCATCATAAGACAAAATTTAAAGTTTTGAGGCTAGAGAGAAGCTAAGGTTTGATCTGGCCTGAAAAACACGACTAGTAAACTCTTATAAATCAATGTTATCATCATGCAAATTGAATTAGAAGATACACGCCTCCAATGAAATAATTTAACAGTAAGACTATTAGTGAGAAAACAGTAGTTAGTCTAGAAATACAGCAATACCATTTTGGCTTTATTCTGTAGAAGAAAGTAGCAGTAAAAGATGCATTTTGTCTAAGCACACTACTTAGTTCCTGGCTCCCTAATTACATAGATCAGATTTACTTTCTGCATATCAAATCAGATTTAAACAGTAGACATGAAGATAGCTGTTCAAGGCGTACTAATTCTGCACACCTGCAAATGTAAAACCCAAATGATGTTCATATCCTAAGAAAATTCACATCCAGAAGTATTAAAATACCTAAAATTAGAGGAAAATTACGAGTGCAAATCTGGGATCATAATTTTGGCTGTTAAGTCTGGTTTATGTGCACAGGTTTGACTTGGTGTTGATTTGTATGATTTGTTTTGACTTGGTGTTATTGACCAGGCATTTCTGAATTCTCATTAAGCCTCTACCATACCCTTTCACCAGATGAGGACAAGTACACAACATCTTTAATTCAGTTTCTATATTTTCAAAATGAAGATGACATACCCCTACAGCTAAAAGACTTTGTAAGATGCTTTCAAGAGTACAATCTGTCTCTACTTTTATCTTCATCACGAAGGAACCTCAAGTTAGACTGAGACTGACCTGTGCAAGCTGTAATTAAGCTTACATTGATTTCTTTCAACATGCCACTGAAAAATAAGAGCACAGTACTTTACATCTTATTTCTTTTGCTTTTACAACTGAAATATTTACCCAGGTCAAGAGCTTCTCTTACCCAATCTTTAACACACCAAGAAATTAGAAAAAGGATTACTGATGTGGCTCAAGCCTACACATGAAAATAAGTGAAGTTGATGTTGTTTTAGGATTTTGCTTTCTGTCATGAGAAACCATAATTCTGTACTTTTCCATGCTATCCCACCTCTCGATACACTATACAGTGAGATAATAGGAATGCAGGAAGGTAAAGGTCTGCTCTTCTGTCACAACTGTAAGGACCTTTTAGCAAAGAATATATTTCCGTAAAATATCTACTTTACATACCAGTTTTGCAAATCCCATTCCCTTGGAGTCCACTGGGCACATAAGAATAGAGCTGGGACAGGGATTTTATGGAATGGTCCTGACAGATGGAGTAAATCAGACATTCCCAGACCAGCCAGAGCATGCAACACACAGAAAATGCTTTCATTTCAAGGAGTATTTTGAAAAATGTGATGTAAAAAAGTACTCAATGCTCAGGAACTCAGACCTGAAAAGGTAAAAGACCTTCTACCAGTTGATCAATGGAGTTTCACAGTTTCAAAGCCAGAAATCATATTTTTTACATGCTCACACAACAGAGCCCAGGTCAATTGAAGTTACAAAAGAGTAACAGCTTATTACCATTACTTTTTAAAGTTTCACGTCAGGTAGAAGTGATCTTCTTCACATCAGCTGCTGTCAGACTTTCATTTAGTTCATTAAAATATCTTGTTTGGTCAGTTCTACCACTATAATTTATTTTAAACATAGTGAAACCTTCGCTAAAGAGGCAACCTGACATTAAGCAGCCACTTAAAAGCCTTTCCAGATTACCACTCCACTCTTTGTGGTGAGGAATTGGGCACAGTAAAGTTTTGAGCCAGATTCCACTTTCCTTTCGTTTCTCAGATCACTTCAATGCAGACTCCAAATTCAGGCAGCACCACCACAGACATGTTACCGTCAGTGAAACTAGCCAAAACATGTCCTCTAGTTTGAGGTGGTCTTTTCAGCTAAGGTTGGGAAATGGCCCAAAATTGTGATCACTGTTCTGGTTTTTAAACCCTACTTCAAAGTCAAAAAGCTGATTTTCCTCTTTTGCTGCTTAAGGCAAATTTCACTGGATACACATATGGCGTAAGTGCCAAACCCATTTAGAGTTGGAGGAACTTGCAAAACATACAGGGGCAGATTCTGTTGTTCTTACTCACTTTAAAGAGCTCCAGCTAAACTAATGGGACTTCTCAACACAATTAAGAAAAGCAGGATCGAATCCAAAAAGAATATGCACATTTCATAGTTGAAAAACATACTCTGCACTGAGTACAGTGGTAATCTGGGGAGGCTTTCAAGTGGCTATTTAATGGACAGTTATATACATGAAAAAGCAGTGGGACAATCTTATTTCAGGACTTTTTTTTTTAACCAGCAACCACGTGCTAGACTAGATTTCATTATCTGTCCAAAATGTTTGTTAGCTGGGGAAGGAATCTTCAAGTCAAGATGTTCTGGGGAAGCAAACTCTAAATATTAATCTAATGGAAAACAGCACACTTTAATATTAGGTTAATACAAAACAGTCGACTGCAGAATACAGGTAGCATTCACCAGCTATGTTTTTCACAGCCAGGAGTTTCAGCAAGATAGACTGCAAGGTTCTTCCGGAGAAGATTTATGTCACTTCGTCCTTTATATCTATATGCGTAGATATTTACAAATAAACTGAGAACTACAGATTAACGATCTCTTAAAACATCCGGTTAAAACATCATTTGAATCTAAAGCCTGACAGGGGAAGGAGACAAGGGGTTTGGTATTTTTTAGAAGCCAGCCGCAAGCCAGAACTCCAGATTCATCCCGCGGGAGGAGCAGGGCAGGTGCCTCAGGGCACCGCCCGGCCCGCCGCGGCGGGGAGAACTCGGGCCACCCCCGCGGCTCTCACCCTCCCGGGCTTTCAGCAGCACCGTGTTGGCCACGATGTTCTCGATTTCCATGGTCGGGGGCTCCTTCCCCTCAGGGCAGCCGGAGTGGAGGCCGCCCCTACTGCCTCCTTCGCCCCCTCCTCCAGCCCCGCCACCGCCGCGACGCCAAGCCTCCGCTCATCCGGCCCCGCAGGACCTCAGCGCTGCGCTCGCCTCTTCCCCATCACCCGCTGCTCGCCCCGGCACCGGCCTCCCCCTCCCCGAGGGCGGAGGCAAGAAGCGGGCAGCAACCGCCCGCCCCGACCATAGCTCTACCTCCCTCCTCCGCCCGCCTCAGCCCGCTCCGCCCCTGCCTCCCTGTGCCACCTCCCCCGCCCCGTGGCAGAGAACTACAACTCCCGGCAGGCCCCGCGCGGAAGCGCTAGCGTCCCCCATGCGCACTCCGCGCGGGGCCTGCTGGGATATGTAGTTCTCTAAGCCTCTCCCGGCCTCCCCCTGCTGGGCCCAAAGCGGGAGGGGAGAACAGCGGGAAGTATCGCGACAGCTGAGCGAAACTCTCGCGAGAGGTGCGAGGCTGCCGCTGCGCGTGTGGTGCTGCCGGCGCACGCCGGTGTGAGGGGAGCGCTCTTAGCGCTCTGCTCCGCACTCTCCTCCGTCTTCCCTTCCCTTCCCTTCCGCTCCGCGTCCCCCGCCGCCTTCCGCGGCGCTTGGGGGGAGCTCTCGCGCGACGGGCCCCTCGTCGGAGGGCAGCGGCCAGGCCCGAGGGGTAGTTCGCAGGTTTTGCCCACCCGGGGCGCCATTTTGTTGGGCCTGTTTGCATTCTAGCCCTGACCCTCACATGCTGAGGGAGTACTGAGGTTCTTCCGCACAAGCCTCCACACAGGCAGTCAGAGCAAAAATGGGGAAGGCAGCTAAGCGGAAGCGAAAGGTCTCAGCGCCCTCCACAGCCAGGGGCCCTGTGAAATCGGCTATGGCTATGGTCAAGAGCAACCCCTTTGAGGTGAAGGTCAACAGGCAGAAGTTTAACATCTTGGGGAGGAAGACTAAGAATGATGTGGGGCTGCCTGGTGTCTCACGGTCCAAGGCCATCAAGAAGGTAAGAGGACATAAAAAATTGGGAAGAATGATGACATCTGTAGATGTAGCTGTGGTGGTGAGGTAATAAGACATAAGAGTCTGCCTCCATCGTGCACTAGGGGAGTGGCAGGTCATCTTACATTGCTCAGGTGGTGATGGAGGTCCTGCTGAAAATGTCTCCCTCCAATGCAATATACAGATTTCAGTAGTGCAGGTCTCCATTATTGCATGTGAGGCAATGATTCCCTTTTCAAATGACCCAAGTCCCAAATACAGTGGCACGTGTCAGCATGCCAATACTGGACCAGAGTGGAAGTTGTTGTCAGTGTTCGTTATGTTTGTCAGTTTTGGTCGCTGCAGGGTATTGAACTTCGTGATGGTGCAACATTGCTGTAACAGCGAAAGTTTGAAAGGGCACGGAGGTCTGAATACAGTGAGAAATCTAAATACAAAGAAGGTGCAGTTGATTTGGAAAACATGCAGATGACTTATTGTGCATCGGTTAAATAGTTGTGTTGTAGAACTATCTTGGGCTGCAAAACAATGATCTATCCTCATTGGTCTCATAAGAATGATCATACTATTTCAGAAGAGTAAATCTTTTGCACTGTTTTAAGATTGCCTCTTTCTCTGCTGACATCACTAGCCACCTGACCAAAATCTGTAATGCATAAGGGAGAATGTTGTGTCATGCTATTCATGTGGGATTTCAGCAACCTCCCCTATCCTTGTGTGAAGCACTGGAATTTATTTTTTTTTTTAATCATCTGTCCCTTCAAACAAACCAGGAAAGAAGCTAAAACCTCTGTAGATTCTGTTAAAGGTGAAAAAAGCATGATTTGAAAGTATGTCCCTGAGATTGTCTCTGAAATGTTAGATACAATTTGTTGTCAAACAGAATTTAAAGCACTTCTTGAAGGGAGCAATTATTTTTAAAAGTAGTGCAGCAAAAGGAAATGCATAGGTTATAATTTTGCATGTGTTGGGAGATATATAATTTCATATCAATGAGAAATGACATCAAATAATTGATAAACAGAAGTGCTTTTCCCTATCCAAGGTATTAAGAAATATTAAAGTTCACGTACAGTGTTTAAGCTGCATGATAATTTATATATTCTTTGCAAGAAGTAAATACTAGGTAGAACTGGCACAGTAGTAGATGAAACCTGAGTTCTGATGTGAGTTACAGCAGCATCTGAAAGTTGTGAATGCTCAGTGAGGCTGCAGAGGCCTGTTACAGAAAACTCAGCATTTTCCTTCAGTGCAGCAGTTTGTGAGTTCACAGTAATAGAACAGCAGCAGTAGCTTTCCATAAAATTCAGTTAATATGTTTTAAATAAACATGGATCTTTCTTCAGCCTAAACACAGCCAGCATTTTCTTCCTTTAGAAACTATGTATCTTCAGCATGGAATTATAAATTAGCTTTCAATCTTCATCACTATTTGTCCAGATTTTAGAGAACTTCTTGAATGTTTGGTATCACATTTTAAGGTCTTTGGGTTTTATTTAATAGTAAGGTAGATCAGATGCCTATCATGAATTATTAGATCACAGGCATTGAAAAGTAAACCTGTCTTCTTACCTGTACCGTAAGTACAGCACACACTACCTTATTTAGGACTGCTAGATTTCTTTTTATTGCTTTGATGAGTAATGTGCCTGTGCTCAACACTAAAGCAGAGAGCTAAATGTGTGTATCCACTTGGGGATTTTTACATCTTAGATGAAGACCAAAAGAGGTTCAGCTGACACTGGGGCTTTTTGCTTTCTTTAGTATGTTATGCTTGTATACTAAGCTTCAGACAAATCAGAATTCTTCAGTGTCAATGCAGAGTTTTTGTATATGATAAAATAAAGGTAAAATACAGTGTACCATATTTTGTCTTCATATGGGAAGTTTATAAGATATCTTAAAGACTGTGAATATATTGTATGAGCTTTCCATCTCTTTTCTTGTTTATTTTCCCTTCTCTTTGCATTCTGATAAATTACACTATGTTGCCAGGATACCATGGAGTCTTTTTGCCTTGTCTTATTCTCTTTGGTTTTTAATTTGACCTTTTTTTTTTTTCTTCTAGCGAACCCAAACATTACTGAAAGAATATAAAGAAAGGGAAAAGGCAAATGTGTTTAAAGATAAACGTTTTGGTGAATACAACAGCAAAATAAGTCCAGAGGAGAAGATGATCAGACGATTTGCTTTGGAAAGACAGGTAAAGTGTAGGAATTTTTTTTAAAAAAAAAAAACCAAACCCACAAGGAACACTTGACTTTTTAGGTTGAGAATGGCCCCCTTAATAGAGGGTTTTTCAGGGCAGTGCTTTCATTTTGATTTTATGTATTTGGAACTTTTATGAAAAAGCCTTTTTGTGTAGGAATCAAAAAATTTTCATTAACACTACTTGGTTTTACAAGACAGCTTTTTGAAGCAGAAATTTCTTTGAGTACTGATATGCAAGAAAGCAAGTTTTAAGCAGATTGATTGATTGGTTTTCTCTGACTGCTTTGATGACTATAATTTGGGAATTGGGAAAAGGAAACCACCATCAAGTACAGATTCCAATACAGCTGTTCAATAGCAGACATTTTATTTGCTGAGTGGAACTCTAACTTGCTGTCATTATGTAATGTGAATTGTGCGTGCAGTACTGTTCTTTCTGCTTCATCATGCTCAGTCTCCAGAATTGAGCAATGTAATATCAATGTAAAATCATAATTGTATAGTTTAAAATCTGTTTATTAGGCCGAAATGCAGTAATTAAGAAATGATGTTATCAATATATAGATAAAACTTAAGCTTCCTTAGGTTTTCTGAGTTACTCCATGTGTACGTTAGTATAAGAGAAACATCATACTACCTTACATAAGGTTTAATGTATCTGAATTAAAGTATTGGTCTGGTATTGCTCTTGTTCCAGTGTTCTGTGCCAGCAGAACTCTGGAATAAGAATCTCCTCAGCTAGTATTAAAAATACAAGCTTTGTTAATTTGTTGCCTGGGAACTAAGAATCTTTTGTTATTTAATTGGTTTGGTTTACTATTTTTAGCAAAATTATGGAAAGAAAAACATCTATAATCTTAATGAAGATGAGGAATTGACTCATTATGGCCAGTCTTTGGCAGAAATTGAAAAACTAAATGATATTGTTGATAGTGACAGTGACACAGAAGAAAGAGGAACACTATCAGGTAAGACATGTCAGCTGGTATCCCACTCCTGTTTTTTTTGTTGGTACATGTGCATAATTTGTTCAGTACTGTTTTTCAATGAGGAAAAACTATTACATAATGGAGATGTTTAAAACAGGTTTGATTACTTCTTAAGCACACGTAGAACAGCTCTCTGGATTTTAGCAGATATAAAGATGGAACTACCTACCTGGCCATCTTCTTTAGATTGTGGGCTTTCCAGCCTGCATAGTCACCTGTATTTTGAGCCCTTTGGGCTGCATTTGAAGTGTGAGCTTTCTGGTTTCTTTCTTGCACCTCTGCACTAGTTAAAATATTGAAAAAAAACCACATGCCTACCTCATTGTCCTGGTTTTGGCTGGGATAAAGTTAATTTTCTTTCTAGTAGCTGGTACAGTGCTGAGTTTTGGATTCAGTGTGTGAATAATGTCGATAAGACACTGATGTTTTAGTTGTTGTTAAATAGTGCTTATCCTAAGTTAAGGATTTTTCAGTTTCCCATTGCTCTGCTAGCAAGAAGCTGGAAGGGAGCACAGCCAGGACAGCTGACCGAAACTAGCCAGAGGGATTTTCCATACAATAGAACATTATGATCAGTATATAAACTGGGGGGGTTGGCCAGTAGGAGCAGATCACTGCTTGGGCATCCGTCAGCAGGTGGTAAGCAATTACATTGTGAATCACTTGTCACTTCTTGGGTTTTATTTTTCTCTCTTTTTGTTATATTCCTTTTCATTACATTTATATTATTGTTGTTGTTATATTTTATTCTATTTTAGTATTAAACTGTCCTTCTCTCAACCCATGAATTTTACTTTTTCAGTTCTTCTCCCTGTCTCACTGGGAGGGGGAGGAGAGAGTAAGCAGCTGCATGGTGCTTAATTGCTGGCTGGGGTTAAACCACAACACTTGTACAAAATGTTTGTCAGTGTAAATTATGTGTTTAGCAGCAATCTGTTTTGGTATGGCCATTCCTCTAGGGATGGGAATAGTACACCATTGATTCAATAGTTTTAATTGCTCCATTTCTCAGAGAATAGGGAGATACTGTCCCAGCAGCAGCATCACTCCAGTGCTCATGTATAGATTTGAAAAGAATTCACAATCTACTTTTTGTCTCCTAGCTGAATTAACTGCTGCTCACTTTGGAGGGGGTGGAGGCCTCCTTCGTAAAAAAGCAGCAAGTGGGCAGCAAGATGAAGAGGAGGAAAAACCTAAATCTAGGAAGGAACTCATAGAAGAGATGATAGCCAAATCTAAACAAGAAAAGGTGAGGTTTTAGCCCTGAAATATAAATAATGATGATTGAGAAGCTGTCACAATTTCTGTCTTTGCAAAATAAAATAGTAGTGGCATAGAAAACAAAGGAAGTAACAGTCTGGGAGAAGAGTCCAGACTCCTGGTATAAAGTCCATCTGACTTTGTAGGCATTTTAGCATATGCATTGAATATCTGCTATTCTTTTGTATCCCCAGATTTCCCCTTCTGCTGACTCCTGACTTGTTTTCTGTATGCCACCCTTGTGCCATTCTATACTGCTTCTTCCACAAAGAATGTTTATACCTTTAAAGTGTTAAATATTTAAAATTATTCTTTTGCTAAATACAACATTTTGGTTTTATGCCGTAAATGCTGTGTCATATTCATCTGAACATAACTGCTGCATTTGTTTTTGGTGGTTGTTGTGGTTTTTTTCTAGCAAGAGAGGCAAAATCGGAGAGAAAGTGCCTTAGAACTCACAGAAAAGCTTGACAATGACTGGAAGGAAATCCAAACCCTTATTGCCCGCAAAGCCCCAAAGTCAGAGAGAAAGGACAAAGAAGCAGAAAAACACAAGGTAGACTACTTTTTGGCTGGATTACTTTCCTTTGTTCTAATAACTTGTGGTTTTGACTTGTAGTAGGTGAAGTATAAGGTAAAGTTCATCACTTTGTAAAATAAAATGTTGCTTACTATTATTCACGTTGAAGGAATGCTACAGTTTTAGGACAGTTGGAGGAATATAGGGGTTTATGTGATTTACCTCATTTTAATTACCTATGCTTTTCATTAGTTATCAAATCTGAGAGAAGTTGCAGGTTAACAACACTGTTGACTATAGCTTATTTTTAAGACAAATACATTTTCTCGAAGAACTAAGATAATTGAGAACATTGACAATTTCAGTGCTTTTGCAGTGTTCTTTTGATAAAACAACTTTTATTTGACATCAAGTGTTTTCTTGTTGTAAAGTGGGTACTGTCCCTACAAAAAGCGAATGAAAATATTTAACTTTTGAATATATATCTTATGGTCTGAAAGCTTTTTCTATCACATTTCTATTCACATATTATACTAAGGGAATTAAATTTCCAAATCTGAGAATAAGTATTGTAGTGCATTGTGCTTTTTATTCTTGTAGAAATTTTGTATTACATTGTGGAGCACTGAATTTCCATTTACTCCTTGGCAGTAGAATTCAGTTTTTGAAAGAATGAACTAATAAACTGATATTTTGTTAAAACTGATCTCAAATAATGAACAGAAGATACAAACTTTTGGTTCAGTATTGTGATGCATTGATTTTTGTTTTTAAAATGTTTCATAACATGCTGAATAGTATGTTGGTAATGTGTTATCTTTGAAAAAAATTTGTCATCGTGATTTGCTGAAAAGGAAGGTTAAATTTCCTTGTTTCATGTATGTGGATACAATTTAAGAACTATGAAGGATGCGAAGTGTGAATTAGTAATGATCTAGAAAATTAACATTGGAGAAAACTATCTAGTTGTATGTAAGAAGGAAAATTCATAGAACTGAATTTTAGAGAATCTGGATGGTTTTAGTGACTTAGGCAGATGTCAATAAGACTATTTTGCAAGTCTGGTGTAATCTCTGCTAGTGACTGTTTTCACAAGTGTGTTCCTTAAACTCACTGAATATCAGCATCCCTTTCTATTTTCTTTAAGATAGACATCTATGTAACTAAGATAGCAAAGACATAGCTTGTGTCTGACAGTATAAAGTGAAATTTATTAATTCTACCTCCTTTTTGAGAAAATAGTATTTTATTAATGTTTTTCAATTAATAAGTAAACCAGTTTTTACTTAAGATGCTATTTGTGTTTTGATTGTGAGTAACTTAAATAGGGGAGGAGGAAATTCCAGAAGAATTTCTATCCAAGTGTTCGTTCCATTCCTTGTCTTAATACTGAGTTAAATGTTCTTGCAGCTTTCTTCAGTCTTCTCCTTATATCTTCACAAGTCTTATTTCTTACCTGTTAGTCTGGAACAGGGGGGCTGCAAAGAATAATAAAGCTTAAGATAATAAACAATTATATAAATATTTCTTTAGCCTGATGAATATGATATGATTGTTCGAGAACTTGGATTTGAGATGAAAGCAAAACCTTCAGAAAGGATGAAGACAGAAGAAGAATTGGCAAAAGAGGAGCAGGCGCGACTGCAGAAGCTGGAGGTATACCATTTACAGTTTTAGATTGTTTTGTGATGTGTTTTTTGGGAGTGACTGCTTATATTCATTGCTTGACCTTAGATTGAAAGTGACTATACTAAACTGCAATTCATCAGAGAGCGAATTCAAGAAACCTTTGTGTTTTGTTTGCAGTCTGATATTACAACAAAAAACTGTAGGCTTAGTACGTGATTATTGAGGTTTATGAATTGAGTTGATCTTTCTTCAGTAAAAATGTAATATTGCTTCAATTTGCTTTTAAATGTTTCAAATTACTCAGAGTTGAGAGGTGTTCCTAGGTCAGTAAGGGGGAGTATCATGTTGCACAGCAGTTGCATTAATACACTGGCAAGACGTTCAAGTCTTGTGGTGTTGCAAGAATCTCCCAATGGCATCATGTGTATAGCCTTGCTTTACAGAGGAATAGATTTCTCTTGGGAAATGCTGGATGCTCTTTCTATTACATGGAGCTCTGAGTCTTACAGAAAGACTGAAGAATTTGGTAAATGTTTCTCTCCCTTTTTTCTTTGTTTTAGTATACTAGGGACACATTTAGGACTGCAAGGATTCAGTACCTTCAGTTTACCTCAGAACAGCTCAGTAGCTAATAGCAGATGAGAAATATTTCTTTCTTTTCTGTTCTTGTCATCTTGTTTGATGCAGTCTATCTGGTTGCCCAGGTGGAAAACCTTTTGTAAATGACTGGTTCAAATATTGAACATTGAGTCTATTTAAAGATTTAGTGTATCTTAAAAATCTTAGGATACAGTTGTGTTTACTACAAATTTGTTAGGCATATTGGAAACAGATAAACACTTCAGAATCATAAAACACCTTAGAAGCTTACATTTTCTAGTAATGATGCATTGTCTCATAAGCAAAACGGATAAATTTTGAAATGAGAGAACATAATGTTTCTGGTCAACCCAGTTTTAGAAGCCTTCCAAATAAGTTAATCCAATTGTCTGTGTGCTCTTACGAGATACCTTACTTTCTGTGAGGAGTGCTATCATCAGCTTTTGACTAATTTCTCAAGTTACTGTTTTTTCTTTTCATCGGCTTGTTGAGTAATTTCAGTTAACTTCTTTCTTTCTTTCTTTGATTTTCTTAGCTGTAGTATTTGAGGGATCTTCCACTCTGGTGTAGTTACCTGGTCGATCTAGATGGTTCACATCTATGTGTGGTATTTCTTCTAAAACACAGGCAGATCGACTACGTCGAATGCATGGAATAGACGAACAGGCAAATAACAAGAAACCCAGCCACGTGTCAGCTGATGATCTAGCTGATGGCTTTATCCTGGATAAAGATGACAGACATTTATTGTCTTACAAGGTAAGGTTGAACATTTCAGAGTTCTGAAAAGATAGGAAAATCAGTTTGGAAGTGACCACTGGAGACGTCTAGTCCAACCTTCTGCTCAAAGCAGGATAAACTGTGAAATCACCAGTTTGCTCAGGGCTTTATCAAGCCTGTTCTTGGAAAATCTCCAAGAATGGAGGCTGCTCATCTCTCTAGACAGCCTGGTCCACTGACAACCCTTACTGTGAAAAAGGTCCCCTTTATATCCAGTCCAAATATATCTTGTTTCAGCTTAGACCTGGTCCATCTCATTCTCCTGCTCTGAACTGTGATGTTGCTCTGCCTTCTCAGTGGTCTGCCTTGTAGGTACTGGGAGGTGGTTATTTGGTCCAGACTGAACAAGCCCAGGTCTGTGTCTCCTCACAGAACAGGTGGCTTTCTGCAGTTTATAGGCCCAAAACTGGATCTACTGACTATACTCCTGTTGTGATAGTAGCTTTCTGTGCTGTTAGCCTAGTGGGCTGAAGAGAGGGCTTTAGCCCTTCTGGTCATTTTTTTAATTTCTGCTGTCTGGTAAAGCTTTCACTGGATTTCAGCCTGACTATGAGTGGGTTTCTGAAAGAACCCTTCAGCTATAAAGTAGCTTTGATTAAGGTGACAGAGCAATATGACCTTAAAGCTGATGTAATAAGACACCCTGACTGTGGTGCACATGTGCTCATACTGATCCTCTCATCCTCTCACGTGTAAGTAGCAAGGGAACTGCTGTTGCCCTCAAAGGGGAGAGTACAAATTGTGAATGTGAACTTAAACTGATGATTAATAAAACCAGGATGGGAACAAATGTTTATCTGATATGTTATTTTAATACGTAGAAGGAATAATTTTTTTTAACCAAGAATGCTTCTGTAAGTGGTGTTGAATTTTTTCCATATCATCTGCTAGTAGTTTTTACTTTTGTGTTGATTCTTTTAGTCCTCATATACTACCTTCTATTCTTCCAGCTTCTTATAGCCCCTTGGAAATACTATGCTATTCTTAAATCTGTATGCATGTTCTCTCCGTAAAATCCCTTCTTGGGCAGCACTGCTGCAATTCACGGCTTGGTCAGGGTAGCAAGGCTCAGATCTTGTTCATGTGTATTTAATGATAGCTTTGCATGGTGATTCTGGTGAGGTGCTGTCACTTTATCAGTGTTTTAACTGGCTTATTTTCTCTTCTGAAGGATGGAAAAATTAATATTGAAAATGAAGATGAGGAAGAAAAAGACAAGGAGGAAGAAGAGGAGGAAGGTGGAAATGAAGATAATGAGAATGAAGAAGAAAGTGAGGAGGAATCTGCTAATGAAGATGAGGAGGATGTTGCTGCAGATAGCCACTCTGATCTTGAATCTGACCTTGAGAGTGAAGAAGAAGCTGCAGGGAATAAAGAAGAGAAGAAATGCAAGACAAATGAAAAGGAATCACAGAACGTGGAGGAACTAGATCAACAAATGAAAGCTGCCAAATCAGAGCTTCCCTATACATTTGCTGGTAAGCAAAGGACTGATCCAGAGATCCCAGTTGTCTTCAGGGGTTTTATAACCAGTCTGTTTCTCTGCTCTGTAGGATCTTACATACTCCTGTTCATCCATGAAGTTTTGCTTCATGGCTGCTTTCTGCTAGTCCAAGAGTAGCCAGTAACTGCTGTTCTTAATGATCAGCCCTAGCCATGCTATGAGCAGTGGGAACCAGACTGGTTTCATCCCAGAGCTGTTTTTTCTCCTCTGAGCAGCCTTAGAATTGAAAGATAAATACTGAAGAGAAAAATTAAAAGATCTGTACTCCTTTTAAAGGCCACCGGCACATCCAATCCAAAGTGCTAGTGTTTTGCATAAGGGAAGCCAGAATAGTATTCTGTTATCTATACTTAAATGAGGAAAGGTTGCTTTCTCTAGTGTTTGGACTGACATTTTTGTCAGACAAGGTGCTTGGAGAAGCAGGATTCTGAGGCTTAATCCCTGCGATGTAACATTGCAGTATTGTTAGAGGCATTCAAAGTTTGACTCCTTTTGGGTCTGTGCCTAGGAGGAAGGAGAAGGCACGTTTTAAATAGTACGCAAAACATTCATTAATATTAAGTATATAATGCATCTACCTATTGTCCTAGTATAGATTTCTTTAACAAAAGTATGTTGCAAGATTAAACAACCTTTCAAACAACTTCCTTAAGTGCTTGCATTTTTTCTATCAAAAGGAGATAACTTAGTACACAAAGCCTTTTAAATTGCATTCAGCTTTTGCTTTAACCAGAAAGCAGTCACATTAAAATAACTCAACCAGTTAGGATGTTTTCTAGCATGTGGACTTAGAAGACTAAACATACGCCAGAGTTTTTTGAGGTCTTTATTTTCTGTTAGTGGCAAGATTCTTACTTAATATCCTTCATACAAAAGTTAGTGAGGTATGAGTTAAACATAGAGCCTTTGTATTACGGTAGGTTTATTGTTGAATGTGTGCTTAATTCTACCTTGTGTGTGTCAACATAGTTGTGCTTAGGTTAGGCAGCAAATATAAGAAATTGAATGTTAATTGTTGAAAAACATTTACATTCTTTTCTGACCTGTTTTCATATATATACCTATATGCTGATAGGTTCTTAGTGTTTGAAGGGTGACTACTTAAACGATGCATGGTATCATTTTTTTTTCTGAATAATAAATTTTTCAAAATGGAAATCCCTTAGATGTTCACTTGAATTAAGTATGTTAAATTTGAGATTTTTTTGCCAGTTCAATTTTTGTTTTTACTTTCTAGTTCCTGAGTCCTATGAGACGTTTAAGTCTTTATTGGCTGGAAGAACAATAGAACAACAGCTTATTATACTGGAGAGAATTCAGAAATGCAATCATCCAAGCCTTGCAGTGGGAAACAAAGCAAAGTTGGAAGTATGGGTGTTTTGTTACTTTGTTTTAAGTTTAAAATTAACTTTGAATTTCAGACTAAGCTTTAGTAAGTATTCAGGAAGCAATATAAAATATACATGCTTATATGTTGTGAATAGTAGTAAAATCAACATACAGAAGTTAGAAAATGAAGAGTGGTATCACTGTTGTTTTGGGCTGTTTAAGAATATATACAATAAAAAAAACCACCTAATATTTTAACATAATATGCTTCTTGCAGAAATTGTTTGGCTTTCTTTTGGAGTACGTTGGGGAGTTAGCAACTCTGGATTTACCAGAGCTTAGAACAATTGACAGACTGGTCCTGTAAGTAATAAATCCTAATGATTTTTGCTCCTTTATAATTTAAAGAGAAAAGCTACCTAGGGTAAAGCATTTAGTGTGTTGTTTGATTCAGATAGTTCCGTAGGGATTGTAGGCAGCTGGTAACTCCAGCTCTGTAGTGTTTTAACTTTGTTTCATGTATTGCTTGAGCTATTAATTTTCAAAACCTCAGAATGTAATTTTTGATCCGCAAAATGCTTTTCATGGGTAGTGAATGAATAATACCATATACAGAAGTTTGCATGCACACATGAAGTTATTTAGACTGCTGATTAAGAATTGTAAGTTTTGCAATGACAGCATGCAGTTCCCTTTGCAGTCTTTGTTTTTATAATGGGTTTCCGTTCTGTGCATTCACTCAGGGAACTAGATGAAAATAGAATTAAAGAGTATTCTGTCATACAGAAATTTCAGATGAGCACTTTGCAGGAAGTTGTCAATTTGGCATTGTTGTCTTCAAATACCTGATAGACAGTTACAGTGACAAGAGAGCCAAATTTGTTTGAGGTATACAGCAAAGGATGAGTCAAGGGACTCAGACTGCAACAAGAAAAATTCCAATTAGATGTAAGGAAAAAAATCTTCACAGCAGAGGTGCTGAACATTAAAGCAGGTTTCCTAGAAAGGCTGTTGAATCTCCACCATTAAAAATTCACAAAACTTGATAAAGCCATGGGTAACCTGATCCAGCTTTGAAGTTAGCCATGCTTTGAGCAGGGGCTTGCATCGCGTGATCTCGAAAGTTCCCTTCCAACCAGAATTAGTCTGTGGTTCCTATCTTGACTTTGCAGGCTAGATAGTTTTCTTTCAGTGAGTTATTTGTATGTAGTCCTCAGCATATATTTTTCATTTCATGCTAAAGTAAATAAGTTTTTAAAAAACTTGTGTACAGCTTTGGCATTCATAGCTCTGTTGCAGATGTCAACAAGAGCAGGGACCTGTTGATACTGTTGCACATGCTGGGGATTTGTAAAAAGTGTAAATGCATTTTGATAGTTTTCTAGAACTGGGATTTATTAATATCACTATAGATATTTTTAACTGGAAATACTGGAAAAATTCTGGCCAAATAGATGCAAAATCCTGAATGCATCTCCCTGTAGGCACTAACCATAGGCTGGGAGCTGACCTAACTTTGTGGGTATTTTTTTTTTTCTTGTTTTAAGTAATAATTTTGATAACCACCTTGCTGCCTCACTTGTTCAACATTGCTTAAGAGTATTTAGAGTAGTAGGCTGCCTAGTATGTGTCAGCATACCTCAGTGAAGTAAAATGTAGAGTTAGGAGATTGAGAAGGATATGTTTTAACCGTAGCAGGTGATTTGGGAGTGCATTTTAAAGTTTCTAATTATTTTTACTTTAAGGTTTAGGAAACCAACAAATCAAAGATTCTCTCACACGGCCCAATGAAAAATACATGTCTGTAAACTAAAAGTATTACAATAATTGTCTTTTTAGAAGTAGCCACCCACTATAAAAGAATAATTTGTTTCAAAGGAATCTGTTATCGTTATAATGTAGGTGGAACACAAGAAATCTTCCTACAGGTGATTAAAAATCCAGTTTTTTTATTGACATCAATGGTGTAACTTGATTATGACTTATATTTCTTGTTAATAGGCCATTGTACAATCTTTGCCAGATGTTTCCTGAGGCAGCCAGTGACAGTATTAAGTTTATCCTTCGAGACGCTGCACATGATATGGAAGAAGTAATTGAAGTCAAAGGCCGTGCAACATTTCCAGCTTTAGACACGGTAACGAACGAATACTGCTAGGAAACTCTCTTGTTCTTTACATTAGTACAGAAATGCCAGTCAATGCGAGATGACATTAAATTCAATTCTATATTTCAAAGTACGTAAAGAATCTGTGACTTTTTAGGTTTCTCAATATTTTACCTTGTCTCTCTGGAGAAAAATTGTAACAAAAACCACCACCACAACAAAAAAATCCTGAGAAACATCCAACCAACCCCAGACAAACAAACAACCCCTCACACACAGGTTCTTCAGAATAGAAATGTGACTCTGTAGTGTTAACGAGGGGAAAATATCTTAATTGTCACTCCGGTTTTCATAGCAGAATATTCTTTGTTTTCCTGATGAAATTTAAATGGGTAGTTCTATGTCCCGATTTCTTTAATTGTGTTAAGTGCAAATGTTTAAAAAAAGTGTTCCAGGAGCAATCTCCTAGGTTAACAAAAAATAACAATAAATGGGTATAAAAGTACAACATTTCTTTATACTTTACATATGATAATTGCTAATTTAGTGACTCAAAAAGAATTGACCTTTCCCTATAGTAGTAATTTTCCACAATTCCAGTGGCCATGCTAAATGTGAACTCCTTTTTCTGTGTCTAGATAAATGGCTGTTAGGGAATTCACGAATACAGTGTATGGAAAATGAGCATTTGTTTATAATTGTTAGTAGAAAGTTTGAAAGACAAACCATAAGTTAGTAATCCAAAGGGAGCTACTTGTTTTCTGTCTCGCAGCTTGATGGAGCAGTGCTGCCTCATGGAATAATTAGACTATTGAAACCAAATAGGCTGAAGGATTTGCGTAGAAGGCTTGGTTCTTACTGCTTGGAAAATATTTATATTGAGTTCCTTTGAAGAGTTGTTATTCAGGATGTTTTGGATTTTTCAGGAAATGTATTGTAAAGAGCTCTTAATTTCTATTTTTATTTTGTCACTGTCACCCTTACGACAGCAATCACACTTCTGACTTTGATTCCCTTCAGTGGACTTTTCTAAGTTTCAAGCCATCATTATCTTTTAAGATGGAATTACTTCACTCTCCTATTCTCAAAGCACTTGTTTGAATGAACATTTGTTAGAAAAGTTGTGTTAGTAGAACTTATATGTGCCTGTAGGTAAACTGACCTGAAATTTGGACTGTGGTATTTAGTAACCAAAACAGTTCAGGAGAGTATTTGTTTATGACAGAAACTTTATAACCAGAAACAGAGCTGAAACAATAAAACTTGAGTCTGGCTTACTATGTAAATAGCCACTTAGGTAATTTTTAGAATTACCTCGCAACAGATGTTTAACATCCTTATGGTCTTGACAGGAGGTCACTTGTAGCTCTATAACAAGCCCCCTTCAGTAAAAGTGTACCTAATTACTGTTTAGTTCTTTTGGCTGCAGCCTTATTTGTTGATATGCTACTGCCTGAGGGTCCTGGTCACTTAATTGTCTGTGTTGAGGACCTGTTGAAAGGTGTTACAGGTCCTGTATGGCCACTTGCTTATTTGTTTGTGGTGTGAGAGTATGTGATTGTGGTGCAATGTTTGGCCTATAACGGATATTCCATTTTCTCATGTAACTTAAAACAGTCGCCTGAAGAAATAGGTCATGTATCATACCAGATTTCTCAAAATTAGGTATATTGTAGTATTTTTAGACTACTGCATGGCAGTTACACATTTGTCACTTACATATGTGTAAAGTCAAGATCCTGGGAACAATATTTTGCCTTATTCTGTTTTATGTGCTATCAGCTTGTTTATTTGAAAATTACATCTCTGCTGTTTCCAACTTCTGACTTCTGGCATCCAGTTGTAACACCTGCTTTTATCTACATGAGTCAGCTCCTTACTAAGGTATGTCTGTGATGTTGTATCTTGGCATATAACTTCATTTCCTCGTTTCTTTCTAGGACTCCAAATATATGTGTTAGCAGTAATGTATATATTGAAAATGTACTGAAAAGGCAGCTTGTCTTTGGTATAGTCACAGATAGTAATTGGAAGAAAAAATTAAGGGGAAAAAACCCTCCCTAGCAGACTACAGTCCAACTCACAAAACCATATCTAATAATTTTTTCAAGCTGTCATACAAGAATTCCTTACATGACACAGGACTAGACTACAAATTACACAGGACTAGACTACATATAGACTCAATGCATTCTGAAATGATTCATTAGTGATTTCTCTTCCATATATCGCGTTTGTTCCTACTCAAGATGAAAATACTGAAAAAATGGCAGTATTTGTTTTCTTTGAAAATGTACCTGATGCATTGCAGTTAAAATATTATTATTTTTCTATCCAAGTGTCCTCTTTATATGTTTTGAAAGTCTTGAGCTAGTTTTTTCTGTTGCTGTCAGATATCCAAGTTGCTCCAAGACTTTTATTTCCTTGGTTCATTTCTGAAGAACTTATTGTTTGTGGTTTAGCACCTTCTAGTGGCTAAACCAGTTCTGACAGACTTCTTACTCAATACTACATATACTCTTTAGTGAGGGCAAGGGACAGACATTATGTTTTTCATATAAGTTCAAATGGTGTAATTTTACAGATTTTAAATATATACAGCTTATTTAATATTTATGCTATATTATGCTTATTTAATATTTATACTATATTGGTAATGTATAGGCTTTTAATTGTGAATATTTTGTGCTTTTTTTTCTTTTAGTGTCGCATCACAACATTGCAAGATGTTATCAAAGGGTTATTTATATGCTGCTTGTTCCTGGAATATGTATCTCTCTCCGGAAGATTTGTACCAGAACTCATCAATTTTCTTCTTGGAGTACTTCATATATCTCTACCCAAAAAGCAGGCCCAGGGTGAGTTTGTTGAGAGTAAATGTGTAATAGATTTTAATATTAGGGTTTATATTTTAAATTTCAATAAAATTACTTCACACTGAATTTACTGTTTTGAACAAAAGACCAAAATCATCTGCTAGGTTAGCCATACACAACCTTGATTATTGGGCATCTTGTTATGAACCAGATCCTTTAGTGTTGTTGACAGGAAGGAAAGAACTGAAGTTATTAAAGGAAATGAAGTCATGTTGCCCACAGTCCAGTATTTTTGCAATATTGTTGTTCTAAATAGACTCTGTGATTGGACTGTGCTCTGAAATTCACAGTCCCTGATGGTTTCTCGATGAGTACCCCATATCTTCACAGTGGGTGATGGTTGTTCTTCCAGCTGCCTCACTAAATTAATGCCATGTTAGACCTATAACGGATATTCCATTCCAGCTAATGCTGCAGTTACCCTCCCTCTTCAGCTAACAGCTGTTTTACTGAGATAAATGAGAGAAGTATATCACAAAGTTGTTTTTTTTCCTTTTTATTTATTTGACATGGATTTGTAGTGTAACAGAGGGAAGCTGCCCCCACAAGCAGGATTAGTCCATTCTGTAATATAACTGTGTAAACTGAGCAACTTGAACAGACAACAGGGAGGAGAATAAAACCATCTTTTTAATTTGATCCATATACTAGCAAATTATTTTATTTGCCCGTCTTCCTCTTTGACTGTTGGATGAATTTCTAGCTTTAAAGTTATTCTAGATATGGGGCTTTTTTTATTGACAAGTTTAGTGACAATAATTCACTTACAAGGAGTTTTGTCAGAACATAGTAACTAATTCATGTGATAGTATCTCTGTCTGGATGACTCTTGAGTGTCACTTAGCATGCATGAAGAGACTCTGCAGACAAGATATTCTCAAGTGAAAAATTCAATTATTTGTTGGCAAACTCACAAGACATTGGGGATTTAATGAACTACAGGCTATGTATTAACATGCTTGTCACTCCTGATAAGACACCTGAAGTGTCTCTGTTCTCTAGGTAGTCATCAGTCTGGTGAGGAATGTTCAGCTTCTGTTGCTGCAGTATTCCAGTACATCTTCAGTAGTACTGAGTTCTTATCTTGCAGCTCCCTTCTTTTTTTTTTTTCCCTTTAAGAATTTTTTATGCTGTTCCATGCTAGCATGTTTTTTTCTTTTGAGTTCTTGAACTACTAATGATCTCCTTTCTCTACAAGCTTAGCACTGCAGTTTCACCTTTATTATCTAGTATGGCTGTACCCTACAGACTTTTTTTTCCAGCTGCTTCTCACAGCTCAGCAGCTTCCTCTAAAATGTGAGCCAAGGTTACACAGCTGGGCTGCATCAGAGCTAAGCCCTGCGTTCTCAGAACACAGACAGCTGAACTCTTAGAAGGAGTTGGGGAGAGGTTATAGAGTGGGTGGGTTACGTAGCACTAAAAGTATTTTCTCCTTTTTGTAATCTCTTGGGAATGTGTGATCTGCAAAATTTTTTGGTAGAGTTAAAATAGAGGATTCTGCAAAAGCAGATAAACTAGTTTAAAATATTTAGTGCTAATTGATGATCAAGTGTTAAATGTTTTTTTAATTTCTTTTTATATTTCTAGTAATGACTTTGCAGTAGTTAAAATTGCATGGTGATGGCTTCTGTTACAAGTGAGAAGCTCAATAAAAGATACATTAGAGGCACAGTGTTGTCTTTGAGTTTTTCACTCAGTACTGATGTTTTGAAGTTATCAGAGTATCCAGTTATGTATTTTAAAATGAGCACACATCCAGTTCTCTGGAATGCTGATATACTGTCTCATAAAAAAAATTCTTGGGATTCAATTCTGACAGTAAGCAGAATCGGCAAATATAACTTACTGGTTTAATTTTATGAGCTTGAATCATAAATTACATGAAAAAATTATATGGAATACAACTTCATAAAAGACTGAAATACAGTCTGCTTCAGACTTAAAAACAATTATTACCGTAAAAAAAGGATAAAATCTGAAGGTGGTGGGAGTGGCAAGGAATTCTCATTGTTGATAGCCTTCGCTAATGGAATCGTTAATGAGATCTGCTATCGTCTCACAAGTAAAGCAGATAAAACTCATGTATCTTAGTTTCTGATCTTGCCTATGTCTGTGTGTGTCAATCTCTCACAACTTTGGGTCTCAAATTTTATGAATCCTTATTTAAACATACTATCTTCTGGCCTGTCCATAAAGAGCCGTGTACAGATTCTAGAGCATGTAAATAAACTTACAGTCTGGAAAAGTTGGGTTTTTTTGTTTTTTTTTTTAAATAAGTTCCATTGCAAGCTTGCAGGACATGAGAAAAACAAAGAAAGAAAAAAAAAAAGTCCAGCACAGAGGCTGCAAAAATTTTTTTTCCCTTAGCCATGAAATTTCTCAGAGGCTTCTTCATTGTTGCTCTACAAGTACCATTTCACAGATCAGCTTATGACCAGAAGCACAGTGATTCTTAAGTGTTCTCTTGTATGCCCTGCCCCAGTATGTATTCTGTGTTCCATGCTATTCTTGTTTTAAAACTACTTAGCTGGAGTGAGAGAAGACTTTACAGCATGCATCTGAGGGCCCCTGTAGAAATGTCACAGGAGAGGCTCTGGGATGTACTGCAGCTATGGACTCTCTCTGCTCCAGCTCATTGTGCTGCTTGACCACTTTCTGGTCAACACTTTCTACTTGTAACTCCATAGGAAAGTCTTATGTCTTACGTCTGCCCTTTCCTCTTAAGCACATCCAGTATGCCATCCTTACTGGCATTTTAACTGTACAGCCTGTTTTACCACAGGGCATACATGTGTCTTCTCTCTCCCCAATATACAGAATCATAGAATGAATCCTAGAAACACTGATTTGGGTTTCAAGGGACCTTAAAGATTATATAGTTCCCCCTGCCATGGGCAGGGACACCTTCCATTAGATCAGGTTGCTCAAAGCCCCGTCCAACCTGGCCTTGAACACTGCCAGGGAGGGGGCAGCCACAGCTTCTCCAAGCAACCTGTTCCAGTATCTCACCACAGTAAAGAATTTTTCTCTTATATCTAATCTAAATCTGCCCTCTTTCAGTTTAAAACCATTACCCCTCATCCTATCACTACAATCCCTAATAAGGAATCCCTCCCCATCTTTCCTGTAGCCCCTTTAAGTACTGGAAGGCTGCTGTAAGGTCTCCCTGGAGCCTTCTCTTCTCCAGGCTGTACAACCTCAACTCTCAGCCTGTCCTCGCAGGGGAGATGCTCCAGCCCCCTGATCATCTTCATGGCCTCCTCTGGACCCATTCGAGCGGCTCCGTGTCCTTCTGATGTTGGTGCCCCCAGAGCTGGACACAGCACTGCAGGTGGGGTCTCACAAGAGTGGAACAGAGGAGGAGAATCCCCTCCCTCGCCCTGCTGGCCACACTTCTCTTGATGCAGCCCAGGATACGGTTGGCTTTCTGGGCTGTGAGTGCACATTGCTGGGTCATAGTCAGTTTTCCATCTACTAATACCCCCAAGTCCTTCTCAGGGCTGCTTTCAATCCACTCATTTCCCAGCCTGTATTTGTGCTTGGGATTGCCCCAAACCATGTGCAGGACCTTGTACTTGGGGTTCTTCTAAAGCTTGTTCAGGTCCCTCCGGGTGACACATCCCTTCCTTCTAGAGTATCAACCACAGCACACAGCTTGTCATCACAGCAGTCATCAGCAAACTCACTAAGGGTGTGCTCGGTCCCACTGTCCATGTCACTGACAAAGATGTTAAACAGCGCTGGTCCCAACACTGACCTCTGAGGAACGCCACTTGTCACTGCTCTCCACTTGGACATCAAGTCATTGGCCACAACTCTTGGAGTGTGACCATCTAGCCAATTCCTCATCCACTGAGTAGTCCATACATAAAATCCATGTCTTTCCTGTTTAGAGACAAGGATGTCGTGTGAAACACTGTCAAAAGCTTTGCAAAAGATGGCATCAGTTGTTCTTGCCTTATCCACCAACACTGTAACCCTGTTGTAGGCGGCCACCAAATCTGTCAGGCACGATTTTCCCTTAGTGAAGCCATGTTGGCTGTCACCAACCACCTCCTTATTTTCTGTGTGCCCCAGTGTAGTTTCCAGGAGGATCTGCTCCATGATCCTGTTGGGGACAGAGGTGACACTGACTGGACTGTAGTTCCCCAGGTCGTCGTCTTTCTTTTTTCCCTTTTTAAAAATTGAGGTATTTTTCCTCTTTTCCAGTCACTGGGAACTTTACCTGATATGACGTTTTAAATATGATGGCTAGTGGCTTAGCCACTTCATCTGCCAGTTCCCTCAAGACCCGCAGATGTATCTCATCAGGTCCCATGGACTTCTCATCAGGTCCCTGCACCTTCAGGTTCCTTAGAGTCTCAAAACTGATCTGTGTTGGGCAGTACTTCACTCTTCCAGTCCCTGCTTTTGGATTCTGTGACTTGGGTGGTATGGCTGGAGCACTTACTGACAATTGTACCTGTGCTCCAGGGTTTTCCATTATTTTAGAAAAGTCTGGTATTAATAAAGTATTTTTTAAGGCAGTATGATTAAAAACCTAAAAGTTGCTGGTTTTTCTTCCTTCAGAAAGAATGCTTAGAATTGATTTTGTTTAATGATTATTATTCTTGGTTTTTAGGGTATACTGTAGTGCATCCTTTTACACCAGTGGGGAAAAATTTAGAACTGCTTTTGGTGTGTGATAAGAAGGATCTGGAAAGTTGGCAGAAGCAAAATCTGCCACTGAGTATTGTGGCTAGATTAAAGGAAACCAGCAGAACAGAAATGAATCATATCAGGTATGTAGGAAATGTGAACAGAAGAAATACCACATCATCTTTTGGGTAATCTCAGTGACAGTGCTCTTAAAAGTAGTGAGTTACTGTGCTTTATTTTTATAGTACTTCTCTGTACTATAAATGTGAAATTGCTAATCTTTTGTCAGAACATTATGCAGAGCACTTTGAGTGCTCAGCCCTGCCATTCCTTTTCTGTGCAGCTGTGAACTGGTGAGGATGAGGTAGATACCGAGGAGGTGCTCAGGACTTTGAACTGTGAAGCTCTTCAGAAGCCAATAAGTGTATTTACATACAAACACTATGTTAGAAAATGTCACTTAAGTAATAAAACACTGAAGTTAGGAAAGACCACAATTATATATGTTCATTAACCATGTTCAGCCTCATTTTTCACCTTGCGTGTGTGTTATACCATAACTTATTTTGGGGATGAGTAAGCATTTTATTACAAAGTTCAAAAAGAAAACCCCAAATCAAAATTACTAATTCTGTTTCAGTGAAGTTTTAACACTTTAGAACCGGTACCAGAACACTTTTAGAACCAGTATAAAAACTTCTTACTCTACATAAGTGGCAAAGACACAATACTGACTTGTGCTCTGTGCACTGACATAAAGAATAGTTGCTGATGGATTTCTTGGGTATTTGCTTAAGAATTAAATTTTTAGTCTGAAAACAGTCTTGTAGCCTCTGTCAAGCAGTCTCAGTAATAGATGCTGCTAACACTGCCAAATTTAATTTGATGCATTTTATTTGAAAATCTACTACAGTTTTTGCAAGTGAAATTGTTAATTCTTTTATGCATTAACAGGTTATCATGTCTAGCCATGTGTTTTGACCTTATTAAAAAATGTGCAGTTCTGTATGAGTCCTTACCATCATTCCATGAAATAATGCATCCTGTCAGAATTCTCCTTACACAACATGTGCTAGTGAACGAATATCCTGAAAAAATGCAGGTATGTGTTCCTCAAGCATTAATTGATACATTTGTTTTATTAATAAATTTTGAGATCTTTAGCTTATAATTAATAAATTTTGTGATCTGTAGCTTAAACAAAAAACAAGTATAAGCATCAAGATTTTTTTTCAAGGGACAGCCATTTGCCTTTTGTGCTTTTCAAAAATCATAGTGATGTTTCTGTTGAAAAAAACAAGAGGAGCAGAAAATGTTTAGAAATGGTATTTTTTCATGGTGTATTTTGTTTTGCCCCTCTATAATCAAAGAGAATAGGACTTAGCTTGTAATAATGTAACATTCCATGAGTGACATTAAGAATAATACTCTGGTTATCCATTTGCTCTTGTACTTTTGTAATGCATCTGTAAGACCTTGATACAACCAAATATATGTACCAAATTGATGACATTTATAAATGTCTGAGTAAAACTAACATAAATATGCTTGGTCAGCTACCTTACTTAAAACAGGGCAGCTGTTTATTTTCTAGCACTTAGGCTCAGATTTTTAATGTCTCTTCTGAATGAAGAAGAATTGTCCTCTCCTCAGAGACATCATGAAATATCCTTAGAGAAAAAAATTTTGTAACTTAAGTGTTGCAAAATGGCCTATATTTTTTGCCATCAAAAGAAAATGAACAATCATTTCTTAGAATGACTATGAAAGACGGAGTTGAGTTAAACTGACTTTAGTCTTGTTTCTTCCTCTGTTTAAAAATTCTGCAGCCTGGAAGGCTTTACAGCATTTCAGTGTTAGCAATGTCCTAATGAATAGCTGTGATTTTACTCAGGAAAAGAACTTTACTGTTGATTCAGTTTACAATAGTTTGTGAATTATCGTGTCTTTGATATGCTTTTGAAATTGTAATTTGATTTGCATTTTCAGGAATGGTATAACAGTGCTCTGAAAGAGCTAGAGAACAAAGTAAAACACTATACCCCACTGGTATGTGAGAAAAAGAAGCCAGTGCCATTGAAACAGTATACACCTAAAATTGTGAAAGTGTAAGTAAAACAACACTTGATACAAAGGAAAAATGCATTTAAACGTTAAGATTTTCAGCAAGCTAGGAGGATTTGGAAAACAGGACATAAAACAGATAAGTTTTTTTTCTGCTAGATTTTGTGCACAAATCACAAGAGACCAGCTATTAGGGTGGGAGGGAAGGAAAGAAAAAGGAAGGAGAAATTCTGAGAAATAAAGATAATCTTGTGGAAAAAAATCGTGCTGGAGATCAACTCTTGCCTGTATAATAAATTGTAAATTAGTACATTTCAAGATGAAAATAGGTTGTTATTATCTAGTTAGGTGTTTTACTGAATGTTCTGTCAAGCACTCAAGTCTGAAGAACAAGAGTGAGGTTGTATGTATATGAACTACATGGAGGTAATGATGGAATGGGGAAAGTACTGAGGGATGAAAATGATAAGGCAGTCTGTTCCTGTACTCTGCATCACAGATAGTAACAAAATCAGTCAGATGAAGTGTTCCTTTAAGCATGCTTACTTGCCCCATTCCTGTCTTTCCCCCAACCAAGCAGCTTTCTACTTTCCAACAGTAGCAATGACAAAGAACAGGTTTGTGGTGGTTTTTTCCCCCCTTTTTTACAGAGCTTGCAATGACCATGTGCATTTTTGTATGCTTTTGGAACTAAACTTTAATAACAATAGTTTGGTTTTGCAGATAATAGAAAAGTATTCTGAATCAGGAAGTCTGCTTTATATTGGCTGCTGATTTCTTCAGTCATGCTGCTTATCTACAGTGATATAAACTGTCTGCCTTACTTATTTTTGTAATTGAGGACATCTTTCCTCTGCCATACATTTATCTCCAAGTAACTGATCAGACTTTTTCTGTAGAATTCATCTGCAGAAACTTAAAATATATTGGGTGATTCTGTCTTTCTCCAGACATGTTTCATTTTTCTACTCTAGCTTTTTCAGTCTGTTAAAAATGCAGACTACATATGGGGGATGGAAGTGTAAATGTGTGCCTGTCATTTGCATGATGATGCTGTGAAGTTAATCACATAATATGCAGGAATGAAATACTGAATGAAATACAAAACCTCCTTATAAACATGAAAAAGTTGTTTTTGTTAAGGTGTTCTGTGCTCACACACACATTCTCATTTCAGTTTAGAGTTTGGAAAAAAGCAGGGAGGCAGCAAGAAGGAGCAAGAAAGAAGGCAGTTGATTCAGAAGCATAAACGTGAACTTAAAGGAGCTATTCGTGAGATTCGGAAAGACAACCAGTTTCTGGCTAGAATGCAACTTTCAGAAATCATGGAGAGGTAATGTAGCCTTTTTTCAGCATCAGTTTGGGGGTCGTTCTACCGTTGTGTTTGCTGCATGCCAAGACTATCAATAATGATCAACCATACTGAAATGTTTTCAGTAGAGATTGTTTAAAGTGTTTTCAGCTTTGCAGTTTAATTTCTCTAGTTTAAGAATATGCAGACTGTTTTTGCTTAAAATATATGTTAGTGAAATTTAGGAATTGAGGGGGTTTTTATAAATTAATAATTACTGTCTAAATATAATTATTTTTCCTAAAGTAATCTTTCTGAAATATTTTATATGTTCATTGTTTTACAGAGATTCAGCCAGAAAAAGAAAAGTGAAAGAGCTGCTTGGTAGCCTTGCTACACAGGAAGGTGAATGGAAAGCAATGAAAAGGAAAAAAGGGAAGAGTTAATTGGGACTACGTACAGCAGGAAACTTTTTTTTTACTGCCATATAAAATACCCCAATCCTGCGGCTTTTGAACAGATTTTAATTGCATTCTTTGAATGCATTCCTTTTGAGGAGACAACATCACCAGATCTGTCTGAAAAAGTGAACCTGCTTATTGTAAAAATCCACGTTTCCATCAGGAAAATAAAAATAACACTTTTGTATATAATGCTTTTTTTTTTTTAATTTTGATAACAGAGAATATTTGGATGAATAATCAGAATTCTTAGGGGTGCATGACCAGGTTTTTAGTTTAACTTGAACTAACACACACACACACACACACACAAAATTGCACAACAGAAACCTTTTGTTATCTTTTATAATACTGAATAATTGCAGACAGCTGTCATAGTGGTAGTGTATTTGCAATTCAGGCAGTAACATTTTAATTAATCTGTAGCATTGGGACATTCTAATTCATGTATTCAGTGAAGTAATGGAATTGGCTTTCAAGTAGAAGTCCTTTGTTAATGCTGTACATCCATTCACCTCTTCAGTAAGTTTTGAATTGAGCACAGCTCTGAAATTCTTAATAATGTAGAGTGGTTAGCTAGAATTCCTCAGTGTATGCGTAACTGTCTAAGTGGACAGTGAAATTCTTAACTTTCTTCCACTTATTTTATCATGTATGTCTATTTACTGATAACTGCCCAGCATGGCTTTAAAAACATCTGCTCTTCAAATAGAGCCAATTTCCAACCTCTTTTTTTAATACTATATTTGTGTAGAAACATTGCAGTGAGACAAAGAGCATCACAATTATTTAAAGGTGCTAGTCTGAACTAGGTTCACTATTCAAGTAGTCACTGTAATCTACCTATTTGATAAGTTCAGCAACAGTTAGGCATTGAAGATTTTCTTCGGAAACTTATGAAAATGAAATGTCCTTTTACAATAACATTCCAATTTCAGTCTAAAGAAAAAACTGTAAAGAAGATCCTATAAAGAATAAACTAATGGCCATGGTTCTTTACAAAAACAAACAAAACCCCAAAGCCTCTTCCATTTTCAAACGGTGTTTCTACATTCAGTCTCTTTGTGTTTTGTCCTGTGTTTTGTCCAGTAGGTAATTCAGACATGGTGATGCTTACCTGCTGTTCATGAAGAAACATTTAAATGCTGCCAGTAGATCTGGTTTAACAGTTAGGCCTGGTTGTTTCAGAATGGCTTAGAATGTTTTCTTCTGTGTGGTTTTGTTGTGAGGTTTTTTTTTCAGATGAGACTTGTAATGGAAGCAGGACTACAGCTAGTAGGGGATGAGTTGAAACACTTAGGCTTTAGATTTAAATTCTAATGACAAACCTATCTTTGTAAGGTAAGTCTTGTTAAAGGTTTCCCTATGTATGTTCCTTAAAAGAGAAAAGGAGTTTATTTGAAGAAGAGGGCTTTTATTGAATCTTAGTGTGACTGTAGCAATAAAAGTAATATGTAATTATCATCAACTTTTTTGGCTTGGAAAACCAGTTGTATTAAGTGTTGAAATAGGCTGGATACCAAGTATGTGTGGGGAGATACTCATGTCACCTAAAAATTAGTAAGATTTCTGTGTTTGTAATCATCCATCCACGCTTCTGAACACAAATTTCCAGTTAACCTTTCTAAAATCAGTAAAGCCATCTTCTGAAACTTCAGAGGGATCTCAGAAGATTAGTATACCTCCTGTTTTATTTCTGTTGGACACAGTATGGATTTTTCTTTAAAAATAATCTTTAAAAACAAAGCCTTTTATATAGTTCAAGCCAAGAGCTTGAGACTGAAGTAACGAGTAAGGAACTAACTTCCTATTTCATGCTATAAATCAGCACTTTCAGTTTTGGGTTTTAGTCCCAGTATATTTCTTCTTTGCACAGATAAACTGACAAAAAAGTATTATTGTTTATTCATATGACTTGATTTTTCCAACAGCAAGTAGCTTCAGAGGATTTATCCAACAGGGTATTAGAATCACAGAGAGGCTGACAGCTGCACTTTGATCCTGTGGCAGTGATTTTTGATACCACTTGCAGCTGCTTGTTATTCCTCAGTAAGGGAGGTAAGAAAAAAATAGAGGAGAGGCACAAGTAAGGTGGGATGATAGTGTTTGTGAGAAAGGATGTTTTTTGGGACAAGACAATGAACAGGAATATCTTGTGATGCTGATGAACAAAGATAAAGGATGAGGAAACCTCCGCTGGTAAACTTACATGACTGTTTAGGAATGCCAGACTGAAAGTTGTTGTGTTTGAAATCATGCTGAATGAAAATCACTGCATGTATATTTACAAATTGTATTGTCAATATTCAAAATTGAATTTAATATTATAAACCTGGGATGCTTAATGTAGTATTTTACATGAGCAGGGAAAGCAGGACTACCTTGTGCTTGTACTCTGATGTTGTAGAAGGTGGTAGGAAGGCCTTGTCAGTTGGACTGCAAAGGACTTGGACAAGCTTGAGAGTTGGCAAACCCTTTCTCATAGAGTTTCTTGAACACAATCACATTCACCAATTACTCGTCTCTGTGTTGCTCTTAAACCAGGAATTCTCATAACAGGCCTTTCAACACATCTGTTATCAATTATAAATCTGTTGTTAATTAGCCAAAAAAGAAACTACTCTATAGCCACAATCATGTCATCAGACACAAAAAAGTAAAACTGCCATTTTGTTCAGGTAATTAATCTGTCAGCAGCAGCAGCTGTCCCAGAGAGTAGCTATCCTGAATATGAACACTATGAAGAATAGGGTGAGATAAAACTTTTCAGCTAGAAATTGCATAAATTACCTTATTTATAACAGCATGAAAAGCTTCCTCATTAGTTTAATCTTCTGGTTGTCAGTTGAAAGCTGGTGTGCAGTTTGATGTTCTTAAGTCGTGCTTTGCAGAAGTCACTGTCTACCTTGGTGTAACCATATTCTGTGTAAGCCGTCACCTTTTGCCATCAGCTTATATAGCTTATATAGCTTATATGAAGGTACTGAGGCTGCTCCTGAGCTGCTACTCTCATGTTTACCTGGTAAAACAAACAGGTAGTTTGTTGTGAAGCAAAACCAGATCTCTGTTGGGCAGAGAGGTTGGTGTCTCCATTACTGCAGCCTGTTCAGCCATAGGAACTGGCGGGGCTGCTTTCCTCTTAACTCACCTGGGCATTTGGAAAAGATAGAAGCTATGACATTATGATAAAGCTGCCAAATGTCATAACTCTGAGACTGTGAGCCGTTACATATTCAGGGGGCCAAAACCTTCCTTCATATGTGCTCCTTTTGGTCTCCCAGTTTGTCACCCAAACTAAACAGGCATTCTCAGTCCTAAATATATTGGTTTTGCCATCTTGCATGGTTAAAATGACTGGTTATTTGTAAGGGTTTGGTTTGGGGGGTTTGTGAGTTTTTTGTTGAAGTTTTTTTGTTGGTGGTTGGGTTTTTTTTTCTTTTTTTCAATAGATTAGGTCTGGAGTGAATAAATTTTTCCATGCAGTCTGAACATGAGCTGAGTATAAAATATTAAGATGAAGACCCTGAATGGCATTAAATCATTTAAAATATTAATGTTTGGGTTAATGCTATTGCTCTTTAATGACAGAGCAGGGAGGTAAAAGCCATAGTTGGAAGACACATAAGAACAAAAATCAGTGTTAAATGTAATCTAAAAACCAGATTTAAGTCATAATCTATCAGACTTGCAAGGTTTTGGATTGGTATTCCACTGAAACCGGGTGGGCAGTGACCTATCTAGTTTTAGAAACAATGCAATGTCTTTACATGAAGGATTGTGTGACATGGTTGACTGCAGTAACGCAACTGGGCTCAGTGATCTGCAAAAGCTTTAGGCTGGTAGGTTTAACAACAGGAAGAACTGGATTTTTTTTTAAACACATCTGAATTCAGATGGTGCCTGGTTAGTTACATACAGTGACTCAAAGACAGAAGAATATATCTACATATATTTTCCAGACATTAAATGATTATTCATGCTTACTTTGAAGCACCTCAAAGCAGAAGTTTGCCTCCAAGACACCCGTGATCCTTGCATAATTGTTAGGTTTCCAGAGTATGTACCATATCTACCAAATTTCTTTTCTCACACCAAACTGAGTATGTAAGATGCTCAAGTAAACATGAGAGTAGCAGCTCACTATTTGATCTGGCACGTTAATCCTGATGTTACTCTTAAATAAGCTCCTCTATATCTTAATATGTTGAGGAGTCCATGACAGAGATGTCACTCTTGAGTGACAGGTCCTAATCTGAGTGCTAACAACCATAAATCCACACCACCAATGGGACTGCATTACCTTGAAGGGAATCAGAAGTCCTTTCAACATCTGTGTTAATTTGCTTTAAACGCTTTGTTGGCCAATCCTTATGTATTTCAGGCTGAAGACCAGATGTGCTTAGTCCACTTGTAACCATATACTGATGTTTTAATTAGGCAGCTTGGACACCGGACACGGCGGGACTAGAGAACAGTGCTAGACAGTGGTATCAATATCAAATCGATTTGTGTTCTCTGTGCTAAAAAACTTGTGGTTTAAAGGAGCAGTTTGTTTTAGGAACAGTTATATGACTTTTGCGACTACCTTTTTCTGCTTGTCAGATACCAGGAAATTTCGACTTACAAAACCACAGGTGCTGTAACATGGCTATGTAGCAACTAACGAAAGAACATCCCTTTCTTCTTGGAACACGTCCGCTTCCACTAAAGAAATCTTTACTGCAAGAAGGAACGGCTGTGGGTTGAGGTACAACATACCCCGTTCAGCTGTTACTTTGCGAGGACTGGGGCTGTCTTGACAAGGCACTCGCCTCAGTCTGGGCTGTAAGTCCCTCCCGGCCGCCGGGCCCTGCCTCGCCGCTCCCTCAGCCCCCAGCAGCGGCGCCAGGTTCCCGCCGCGCCGAGGGACTTACAGCCCAGACTGAGG